TTTTTTTTTTCCAGAGAGGTTTTTGCTATAGGGCCCGTGCGCTTCTCACATGCGCTCGCCAGAAAGACAGAGACAGAGAGACAGAAAGTGAGAAATCACCCCCCAGGGGGGATGGCCACGCTGCAATCCCTTCTCCTCCATTCTCCTCTCGGGATCTTGGGCACACACGCACATGCACCCGGCGTAAGTTTAAGCCACCGGGTCAGGGACTCGAACTGCAGTCGACTACGTGGGAGTCCAGCGGTATAGCCATTATGCTAACTGCTGGTCCCCTTCCAACACCTCTCCTGTCTCCTCAACCCCGTTAACACTCACAAGTGTCTGGACCTGGCTGCAGTGGGCCACCCTCGCTCACCTGGACCAGCAGTCCCCTTCCCTCGGCTGACCGTGCTCCGGCAGAGGGACTTTGTAAAACATGCCCAAGAGGAACACACATGGCTGGGCTGGCTTCGAGAGAGGGAAGAACACTGACCCACGCCAGCCGATCCTGGACTCCAGCCCAGCTTCCCTACGGACGTGCCGTGGTCTCACCACGGTGCCTGGACACACGGGCGTCCCTACCTCTGTGCCTCTGAACCAGGCGTGCCCTCCTCGCCCTGGTGACGTCCTGGTTTGTGTAAAGACACAGCTCCAGGGTTCCTGCCTCTCTGTGGCACTGCACGCGGGCCTCCTGGCCGGACCCTTTCTGTGTGCGTGTATCTCTGGGGCCTCCTCCATCCTCATGCTCAGAAGGCATTTGTGGAAATACACTGAGCATTTTTTAAAAGATGTGGCTCTAATACGCTATCGTGTTTTAGTTCGACTACAAAGCCAAGTGGCAGCTGTTACTAGCTTCCTGTCGCTGCACTAACAAATTACTGCAAACGCAGCGGCTTACAGCAACACAAATCTGTTTATTTTTACACCTTCGGAGGTCAGTCGTCTAAAATGGGACTTCCAGGCTGAAATCAGGGCGTGGGAGGAGACCGCGTTTTCCACCCCTGCACTTAGGGATGAGGGTCATCCATGCCCGGCGCTGGATGGCCAAAGCCTGCCTGCCTTCCAGGGGATGGGCAAACCCAGCTCCTCGCCCGTTCCAGCTTCTCAGGGCTCCCCGGCTCCCAAGCTGGCAGCTTCTGCCTCCTGGTCTTCCATGTACGACAGAAGTGCCACTTGCTTTCCGGGGGTTTCCTTGGGCACCGGGGAGTCCAGGTGGCACCGCATCTCAAGGCCCTTAATTCCCCACACCTGCAGATCCTTGGGAACTAGGACCCCGGGAATGAGGACGGGAACATCTTGGGGTCATTATTCTGTCCACCATCGCTGCCCTTTTCAGTCAGGTGCTGAGGAGACAGGCTTCTAAACAGCCCTGCAGTGATGTTTGGATTCCAGCCTGAATAATGGTGAAATAGACCAGCCATGTATCTCCCGGGGTACCTGGGAGGCATCGGCTTGCCTCTGCTCCAGGTCTGAAAGCAGACCCGCGTCTGGGCTTCTCAGCTACTTGAAGGGGACTCGGGGTACGTTCCACAGAAATGAGTTAGGAAGTCAGGAGACCGCCACAGCGAGGGGAGGACACTTGCTTTCTCCTGGGACACAGATGCCTCCTGCCGTTGGACTCGTCCTCTGTCGGGGCTGACAGTGTCTTCCTCCCTCGTCTGTTAGCCTGGTGCCTGGGAGGAGACAGGGAGGTTTGATTCTGGGAGAAATGGTTGGGACCAGCAGTTAGCGTACTGGCTATGTTGCTGGACTCCCATGTAGTCAACTGCGGTTCACGTCCTGGACCCGGTGGCTTAAACTCACGCCAGGCGCATGTGCGTGCATGCTCAAGATCCTGAGAGGAGAACGGAGGAGAAGGGATTGCGGCGTGGCCATCCCCCCTGGGGGGTGATTTCTTGCTTTCTGTCTCTCTGTCTCTCTCTGTCTCTCTCTGTCTCTCTGGCTAGCGCACGTGCCCTATAGCAAAAAACCTCTCCAAAAAAAAAGAAATGGCAAGAATCCCCCCACCCCACGTACACACACATGCGCATGTACACGCGCACAGAGCCGGAGGCTGCCAAGTTTCTCCTTTGGGAAGATGTAGATTCCAGACGCTTGCCCTGAAGGCATTCATCTTGGAAATGAAGATTAATAATAATAGTTCCCTTTTTTAATGTAATTATGCCTCTGGGGTCCCCTGTGAGAGAACAGAGGACCCACGGCTGTACTTGGCCAGGAATGATCCATTGCCAATCTGCCAGGGCCTGTGCCGTCCTCACCTTTGGTGACCTTGGGACCATCCCGCCTGGGGGCCCGCCAGCAGCCGTGGGGAGAATGATGGAGCTTGGGAGCTGGTGGCAGAGAATGCCAGAGCCAGAAAGGGACCTTGCAGACCATGTGTGTCAGCCGTGCAGTCAGGGCGATAGTCCAGCCCGTGCCCAAGGTCGCGTAGCTGAGCGCACCCAAGTGAGACTAGCATTGGGGTTGCCTAGCCCTGATCCCTGGGGACAGACCGCGCTGAGGTCTGTGCAGGAGCTACAGAAAACAGGATGTGAGCTCCCCTTTCTTTCTTTCTTTTTTTTTTTTTTTAAGAATTCTTTTATTTAACGTTATGCATTATTTATTTACTTATTTTAATTTGACCAGAGAGAGAGGGAAAGTGAGAAAGCAAGCCTCCAGGTCCAGGACTCGAACCGCGACTGGCCATGTGGGAGTCCAGTGCCCTGCACCACCACGCCACCTGCCGGCCCCCTGAGCTCCCCGCTCTAGTGCAGACCAGCAGGACTGTAAGCATTAGACACAAATAAGGCCCTGGGGGCAAGGCAGGCCTTGGTGAGAAGTGAGTGTGGTCCAGATGGTGCCGGGAGGCCACCGGAACATGCCATAGCGAGAGGACATGGGGACCCACCTTTTCCCTTTCCAGGTACAAAACAGCCTCAGGGAGCTGTGGGAAGACGGAGTCAGGCGCTCACATGCCAGTGCCAGTGTGGGGGTGCTCGAGGGTGCTCGCAGCTCCTGCCGAGTCTTAGGCAGTGGGGAAAAGGGTGTAGGCGAGTGGGGGGGGGGGCTTGAGCAAATGCAGGGGGCGAGGACCTGCTTGCAATGGGGTGGCAGTAGGCTGGGGGTGGGACATGAGTTCAGGACATCTCGGGAGCTGAAATAGGCCAGCCGTGGAGACTGAGGAAGCAGGGCGAGGCCGGAGGAGACCCGAGCTAGAACACAGGAAGGAGGAGGTTGGGGCCTGCAGACCCCTAGCCCATATCCTTTGTAATCAGTGAAATGGATGCTGGACTCCTGCTTCCCGTGCGTGCTCACCTGCAGACGGGACGTTGAGAGCTGGTAGGGGGCAGCATGTGGCAGATCAGACGGCCCAGAGCCTTTCAGCCCACGGGGTCTCTTGCGTCCCAGCGCACCTGTGACCGCCCATCGGCACCCGCCGCAGCCGTGGGTCTGCGCAGTCCTGTGCACTGTGACATCCCGAGCCCAGGCTTTGCCTCTGTCGCACGCTGTGCTGTCATGGCATCGCTCACGCAGTTCGTGCTCATCTCGAGCCCACGTCTGTTCTGAAAAATCACACTCGGGGTTATTACCCTAAGTAAAATTTGCTTTTCGTGAAGGGTCGTTCTAAGTTCCAGGAGTCCCACAGGCCGAGCTGGGAGGGCTCTGTCATTTCGCTGAGGACTGACTTCCTGGTCCCCATAAGCCGTGCTCCGTGCGGGCGCTGCGGGTGCTCGGTACGTCACCACCTCCCGCTGACACGCTGCGTAGCTTGGTTAACCTCGTGACCAGCACGGGTGTGGTGAGAGGGCCTTCTTTCTAATGCACGGATAATTCTGTCTGCGCAGGGATTTCGCCTATGTAGCAAGAGACAGAGACACGAGGATTTTGAAATGTCATGTCTTTCGATGTGACACCCCAGCTAAAGCCATCGCCACGAGTCTCCACGAGATCTGCTCCAAGGTAAGGAGGCTCGGGGCCCTTTGTCCTCATTGTGGGAGCAGATGAAGGGACGCGGGAGGCAGGAGGGCTGCACGCCAAGGCCAGGGAGAACAGGTGCTACAGGCCGGGCCTGTGCTAGGGGTAGTCCTACACGGTGGCTAGAGCCGTGGCCCCTCTCAGTCAGGTGTGGGCGTGCACAGGAGGGAGGGGGGCATCGCAAAGTTTATAGGAAATGGAATTTGAGCTGGTTTTGGTGCAGAAAAAAAAAAATTGAAATCCATGCATGAAATCCATGAATGTTTTGAAGCTGTCTTCCGTGTGTGTGTGGTGTACGTGTGAGTGTGTGCGTGCGTGTGTGTAAATAATCAGAGGGAAAACAGTGGGAGAAACAGTTGAGAAGATAGGTAAACCCCTGAAAATGGGAGCAAAGGCGTCGGGGCAGGTTCCCCACGAGCCAGAGCCCCTGGGCTCAGAGACTGAGTCAAGGGCCTAAGAGACCAGAGGCTGCGAGGAAGCTCGGGGGTCACGGATAGACGCCCAGGGTGGCCGTGGGGAAATCCGTCTGCATCCTTGACGTCTGCTCCCTCTCGTCCTGGTCTCGTGTCCTCCGTCGATAATCCCACAGACCTCCATCATGGGGGCCCCACCCTGGGACACCACGAAGGGATGCGGTTTTTATTTAGCACCCTCACACCTGTGCAGTGCAGCTAAGTCCCGGTGCGTGAACTTCTGGGGGACGTCCAGCTACTACCCACTAGGGCCAAACCCCAACATGTGAACCTTTGGGGGTCCAACCATCATCCAAACAAGAACAGTCCTCCTATGCAATTGAGAGGTGACACGGGAGGTCCAGTGACCTGCCCGGGGTCACACAGTTGGTAAGGGGCAGAGGTGTGACTCCAAGCCCGACTCGCTGTTTCCAGAGCCTGAAGAGAGCATCTGGAACTCAGTGCCCAGCACCGGGGAGTCCACTGCTCCACGTGGTGTTGACCACAGTGCTCAGTGCCCCAGCACCGGGGAGTCTACTGCCCCACGTGGTGTTGACCACAGTGGGCCCATCTGTCTACGCAGGTCCAGGGAATGTCTGAGTGGTTTTCGGTCAAGGCAGGAGTCTGGTGAATAGAAGGAGTAAATTCCAAGCAATGAAGCAACTGTCACACGGAGAAAGAGTTATTCCCCCATTGTCCCTGGAGAAAATGAGTAAAATTCTCCAGTGGGATATGTACCCCGGAGACACGGGTGTGGGGAATCAGGCAACAGCCTGATGCCAACATCACCCGGAAGTGACGCCAACTCAGACACTGTACTGGCCGGAAGAGCTGAGGGCGTGGGGCTGGAACTACGAACCAAGCTGTGCTCTGTCTTTAGATTATGGCCGAGCGGAAGAATGCCAAAGCCCTGGCCTGCAGTTCCTTACAGGAGAGGGCCAACGTGAACCTCGACGTCCCTCTGCAAGGTAGGCCCACGCCCCTCTGTCCGTGTGGTGCTCTCCGGCCTGGTCGAGAACCCATAGGCTGAGCTGGGTCCTGGTGTCTCTAGTCTCTGAAGAGATGTGCCAACTCTGCCAAGTGGCGCTTCTGTGTCCCGCAGTGGCCGGGTCGGTTGTCAGTAGGGTTAGGAATGGAGGACCGGTGAGACAAGATGAGAGAGAGTGGTGTTGGGGGGCTGTAACTCAGGCCCACCATGGGAAGGACCAGCGGGGTGGAGACGAGGTGAGCTGCTCTCCGGGCAGCTCTGTCGTTTTTCCTGACTCTGTGCTGTTTGTGATTCCATTTTCCCGAGAGAGCAACCACCCCTAACAAGCAGGACCCCCAGAGCTGTTCCTGGCCTGCCCATAGTGGTGCATGTGGATAAGACACTCCTCGACAGGCTGGGGTCACGCGGGAGCCTGGGTTCGATTCCAGGTCCAACCTCTAGGTCCGACTGGCAACAAGTGCTTGTAACCCCAGTACTAGCAGAGGCCGAGGCAGGAGCTCACACGCTCGAGGCTGGCCTGGGTGACACAGCAAGAGCCTGTCCAAAAACAGTTGGTGGCATGCCCGTGCCACCCCAGCAGTACCATCTTTTTAAAATAAATTTTAAAAAGGAAGCAATCAGGGACCAGCAGTTAGTGTAATGACTGTGTCGCTGGACTCCCATGTAGTCAACCGCAGTTCGAGTCCCAGACCTGGTGGCTTAAACTCACGCTGGGCGCATGTGTGTGCATGCCTAAGATCCTGGGAGGAGAAGGGAGGAGAAGGGATTGGGGTGTGGCCATCCCCCCTGGGGGGGGATTTCTCACTTTCTGTCTCTCTGGCAAGCACACATGCCCTCTAGCAAAAAAAAATCTCCTAAAAAAGAAAAGAATAAAAAAAAAAAAAAAAGGAAGTGACCCCAGTGCACATCAGAGACGCCATAGCAGCTTTCGTGCTTAGGTTCGAGCTCCTGCTCTCATGGAAGCTGAGTAGGATGTCGAGAGCAGCAGTGTCTGGGCGGGACGTGCAGTTCTTACGGAACAGCCGCCCCGGTGGCATCTGAGCCAGGACAGCAGGGCCCAGGGTGCTCTGCCAGGACAGCCCTGTCTCGCTGCAATGCTGAGAAAGGTTGCTGCGTTTGTTCCCGCAGTCGACTTCCCAACCCCGAAGACGGAGCTGGTGCAGAAGTTTCACGTGCAGTACCTGGGCATGCTTCCTGTGGACAGGCCGGTCGGTACGTGAGGGCGGCTCATTCCGCTTTGCAGTGTTGGAGGAGCTCCCGGGAGAGTGAAGCCTGCTGTTTCCCCCCGCCCTTGCCTCATCTCGATCAGCCCTCATGCTGTCCCCTGTCCCCAGAGTGCAGGGGCAGTCCTGATCACACAGCTGTGGAGGACAGGCTCGGATAGCATGGGGGGACATGCATAGACAGATCCGTGTCGCCCACTCTGACAGTCCAGGGCTGTGGAAGGGCACCCCTTCATTCTTGTCCTCTGTGGGCTGGGAAGAGGGGCTGAGTGAGCCCTCAGGCTGTCCTTCTGGGGCACCCAGGATGGCTCATGCAGCTTTCTGCAGGTCCCATGGCAAGGCTCATCACCGGCCTTACAAGGCTGAAAGGAGGCCGGGAGATGTGGCATTTACCAGGCTGCAAAGACTGTGGGGGCCTTGGCCCCCTTGCGCACTGCACGCAGAGGGGAATGTCAAACGGGCACTGCTTTGGAAATCAGCCCCATGCTCCCTCGTCAGCTTGCAAGCACAGTTACCTTTGCCCTGGTGGTTCTGCCCCAGGCACGGACACAGGAGAAGGGAGACCATCCATTCACACAAAACCTCGTCCACCAGCGTTCACAACCGCATGGTTCGTGATGGTCAAAGAGGATAGAGAAAGATAGCAAGTGAACAATAGAGAGGCAGGACGTTAGTGAGAAACAGATAGGGCTTATTAACCGTTGATGATGACATGTATAGTATTCTCAACTGGATTGGTCTGAGAAGTATTTCATGATGGGCAAAGTATTTTTACAAGCAAAATGAGAAACAGCAATTGACTATTTTAAAAAATAATTAGAATAATAAAAATAATGATTGGGGAAAACATAGAAAAGATATTCAATGTTGAAGTGGGGAGATTAATGTCTCTGTACTGACGGACATGCATGGCATTCCCTTTTGAAAAAACAATGTAATACATTGTAAAGTTATATGTAATCCAATGTAATATAAAGAAGATTATGATGATGATAATTAAAAAATGCATATTATAAAAATAAATAAATAAATAAAAATAAGTAAATAAAATTAAACAAATAATTCTAAAAATAAAATTTTAAAAAAGAAAAAAAAAAAAAAAGAGCGGAAGCAGCCCCCGTGCCCACCACCTGATTAATGGACAGTACATACGATACTTCCAGGGAGTGGAATTGTGTTTGGCCATAAAAAAGAATGTGGCGGGACCAGCAGTTGGTGTAATGGCTGTGTTGCTGGACTCCCATGTAGTGGACTGCAGTTCAAGTCCCGGACCCGGTGGCTTAAACTCATGCCAGGCATGAGGATGATTTCTCACTTTCTGTCTCTCTCTTTCTTGCGAGCGCATGCGCCCTATAGCAAAAACCTCTCCAAAAAATAAGTAAAATGAATAAGTGAAAGAACGAGGCACTTGAAACATGCCACAGCACAGAGGACCCTGAAGTCGTGCCAGGGCAAAGAGCCAGTCCCCAAGACTGTGTTCCGCGTGACTCTGTGGATGCGGAATATTTGGGAAAGGCAGGTCCCCGAGGCAGGAGGTGGCTGCTCGAGGTCAGGGAGCTGGGGGAGGTGAGGGGCGGCTCAGCAGATAGAGTAAAATGAAAATGTATTACGGTTCGACTCCAAGTGTACTGACATCCACCGAGGTGTGCACTTCCAGTGAGCGAGTCCCACCCCAGTAAGGCGGTTACCCCCACCCTGGAGAAAAGACTGAGCACCCCCAGCAGAGGGCCCCCTGGAGCAGCGTGTCCCAGTCAGGGCCAGGTGCTGTCAAAGTTGGCCCTCCTTAAACAACGAAGGGAGATGATGGACAGGGCATTCCGGGACAGGCCGGTTTCTGTGGACCCCTTTCCCACGACTCTGCAGAGAGAAAAATAGTATTTACTTGCACGCTCTTTGTACCCTCAGGGTTAGGGAGTCTTTGTGGGGAGAGAGAGTTTGGAGGACCTTGTCTGATTGGACAGGACATCCCACATGCTCTGCGGAGGCCCTCGTGGCTGTTCCTGATGTGGAAAAAGCTGGGTTTTTTTTTCCTTTCCTTTTTTCTTTTCTTTTCTCTCCTCTCTCCTCTCCTCTCCTTTCCTCTCTTCTCCTTTTCTTCTTTCTTTCTTTCTTTCTTTTTTTATTGAGCAAAAATGAGGAGGAAATCTTTGTCTTCTAAGACTACCAAAAAAAAAAAATCTGTGTCGTCTAAAACCACAAAAAAAAAAAAAAAAAAAAAATGGGGGCATGGAGGTTAAGGCAGCTGGTCCCACATGGCCAACACAAATCAAGTCCTGGACCCCGCAGCGTGAAAACATGCCAGGCACGTGCGTGAGCATGCCCAAAATCCCGAGCGGAGAATGGAGAAGAAGGGATTGCAGAGTGACCTCCTCTCTGGGGTGGCGGGCGATTTCTCACTTCTTCCCCCGCCCCCCTCCGCAAGTGCACACACCCTACAGCAAAACTAAATAGGAAAGCCTGGGCATAGCTATTATTGGGAGATTTGGGACCGCATTTGAGGACGTTCTTAATGGCCCTTCTCACCTCCAGGAATGGACACCCTGAACAGCGCCATAGAAAGTCTGATGACCTCATCCGACAAGGAGGACTGGCCGTCAGTGAACATGAACGTGGCCGACGCTACTGTCACCGTCATCAGTGAGAAGGTGGGGTGGGGGACCGGCAGGTGGCGTGGCGGTTAAGGCGCTGGACATTCCCACATGGCCGACCACGGTTCGAGTCCCGGACCTGGTGCTTTGCTTTCTCACTTTCCCTCTCCTTTCTCTCTCTGGTCAAATTAAAATAAATGAACAAATAAAATTAAATAATTTTTTAAAGAATAAAAGAAGGTGGGGGGACACCTGGGCCGGCCTGTCTGGGTGGCAGTGAGATTTCAGTAAGGCAGTCTTCCAGGAAGCTTCGAGGTGGCCCAGGGAGCTCGACCTCTCAGGAAGTGTGATTAAAATGGCCTCCATATTTTAGAAAAGTGTTTCTCCTTCGTCTTGGTCTAAATCTGAGCATACTCTGCCACACTAAGCATGGCTCCGTGGTCTGCTGGGGCGGGAAGGGTTGGTGACTGCTCGGCTTCCCAGAGCGCGGGGTGCCGACCGGCGTCTCTTGCAGAATGAAGAGGAGGCCCTCGTGGAGTGTCGCGTGCGGTTCCTGTCCTTCATGGGTGTCGGGAAGGATGTGCACACCTTCGCCTTCATCATGGACACGGGGAACCAGCGCTTCGAGTGCCACGTCTTCTGGTGCGAGCCCAACGCGGCCAACGTGTCTGAGGCCGTCCAGGCGGCCTGCATGGTGAGTGACGCCCGGCAGCGGGGCAGCCCTCCCGCCTCTGCCATGGCTGTATTGGCACAGGTGAGCCCAGGACCGCGGTGTAGACGAGAGACCTAATTCTGGGGCAATGCCCACCATGGAGCATGCGTTCCCGGGGACTGTCAGTTATGGCGCACGGGTTGCCTCCGGCGAGGCCAGAACCCCCAGGGAGCAGGGCCTAGGGAGCCAGGCGTGTAGCACCTCCAGTCACGTCGGCGCACAGGTTGCGTCCGGCGAGGCCAGAACCCCCAGGGAGCAGGACCTGGGGAGCCAGGCGTGTAGCACCTCCAGTCACGTTAAAGGGCTGATCTTCAGAACCACAGATGGAGGAGTTTCGGCTCTTAATCCCAAATGACCTTCACCATGTGAGCAGAACGTGTCGGTGTCTGAACTCAGCTCAGTGCCCTAAACTGTCCCCCTCTGTCTTTCTGGAGAGCACACATGCCCTGTAGCAAACACCTCTCCAAAAAAAAGGGAAAAAAAAGAAAATGAGGAGACTGTATAGACACGCCTGCCGGGGTCTGGAGCGCGTGGTATAGCCTACCCCAGCGGTCGCATCCCTGGAGCCGAGTGCACGGGAGCGAGGCCCATGTCACAAGGAGGGCCTGTGGTGACACCAGGCCTTGATCCTCAGTGAAGATCCTTAGGCAAGAGCGACATGATCATATTCAGATTCTGAGAGTGGAGGAGAGGTTGAGAGGCCGGGGTGCAGAGACCAGCTAGGAGCCGGTGAGGCTGGGCTAGAGAGCCGGGAGGCTGTACTCCTGGCGAGAGGCAGGAATGAGCAGTGGGTGGTCGGGGTGCCGTGGAGGGTGGCCTGGCCTGGGCTGAGGGCCGCTGCGGCTGGACTCTGCCCACCATTCACGGGCTGGCCTCTGGGGGTTCAACATGACTAAAATACAACCCTCACGTTATGGGCTCCCGTGCAGCGGGAAGACCCATTAAGTTTCTGTGGTGAGGGCCAACAGGTGGCACGGTAGATAAGGCACCGGGTTCCCGTGTGGCCAACTGTGCAGTTCAAGTCCTGGCCCCAGAGACTTGCAGGTCACACTAGGCACATGTGGGTACCCCAAATCCTGACAGGAGAATGGAAGAGAAAGGATTGCAGTGTGGCCACCCGACCCCCTAGGAGGTGACTTCTCACTTTTCCTGTCTCCAGTGAATACTCGCACCCTATGCCAGAAATCTATTAAAACCAATAAAAATTTTAAAAACTCCTGTAGCACAGGAAGTGTCGTTAGTGAAAGCCTGAGCCTGCACTGGATCGAGACGCGCCGAGGCCCTGAGAGTGGAGAGCCCAGAGTCAGGGAGGGGCTGCCCCGCAGGCAGCGGCGGGGGCTGACAGAGACGCGCCGTGTCCATGTCTGTGGTGTGGCAAGGTCTAGGTGCTGGTGGGTTAGGAGCATCGAGGCAGACTCAGCCTCCCTGGTGGTTAGAGACCTTTGCCTTCACACAGGCAGGTGCTAAGGGTCTGGAACAGGTGGTGCTTAGGGAAGGGAAGCTGAGGGAGTTCTCAGCCTTTGTGTTTTCTTTTAACATAAAGTACGCTGATAGGTTAAGAACGAGAGACCAGGAGGAGAGGGGGCAAATGGCAAAGGTGGGGGACAGGAAGAGTGCTGGCTGACTTGGTTTCTAATTTCACCCCAGGGTGCATGTGCTTACTGGACAGAGAAATCACCCCCATGGGGCATGGTCGACCACAGTCCTTCATCCTGCATTCTCCTCTTAGGATTTTGGGCATGTATGCACACAAACCCTGCATGATTTTCAAACTTCTGGGTCAAGGACTCAAACCTCAGAGTTAGCTATGTGGGATCAAGCCACCTTAACCTCCATGCCACCTGCTAGCCCCATCCCCAGTTGATTTTTTTTTTTTTTTTGGTGTTTTGTTTTTTTGGGGGGCGGGGAGGGAGATTTTTGCTATAGAGCATGTGCACCCACTGGAGAGACAGAAAGCAAGACATCACCCCCTCTTGGGGGATGGCCACACCACAATCCCTTCTCTACTGCCCTGTCAGGATTTTGTGCATGGGTGAACATGCACCTGGCTTGAGTTTTAAGCCACTCTGCTACGTGGGAGTTCAACAACTTAGAGAAACCACTATGCCATTTGCTTTTCTGCCCCGTTGAGTTTCAAAAGACACCCTCACAGTGGAGCAGGGAGAAGGGAGGAAGGTCCGGCTGTTGCACACTGGTTATCTGGTCTGGTACCTACACTGTCCTTGGTAGGAGTATTCTGGAGCTGGAACTCCAACTCAGATGCACCTGAGTATCCAGGAGCAGGCCTAGGTGAGAGGGAAGCCGGGCGGTAGAGGGGACAAGGTGGCCACCAGCTAGGCCTGGGGGATTTTGGTGGGATCCAGGGGCTTCGTGAAGAAAGCAGGAAGGGGGGGACTTCAGTCAACCAGAAACAGATGATGACGGGGTGTCAGAAGTCGAAACATTGAAACAGATGGGTTTAGTCAGGAGATGAAGGGCTTTCGGCTTTCATTATGCATTCTAAATGCTAATGATAATTAATTAGCTTCATTCAGGCCCATTTTCCCTCTTGGAAACAACTTGAATTCATTCGCTTCCTGTTTTAATTGTATTCTTGTAACCAGTTGAGCCTCCTGCGCCCCTCCCCAGGGATCCAGCTTCCCTGACTCAGAGGCCGTCTCGTGCCTCCGAGCTGCAGGGTCCTCCATCTGAAATAGCTGTGTGAATTTACACCGTCGGAAATATCTGTGGGGTCAACACTTTCTTCCCAGCCGACGTCATTTCTTGGCAGGTTTGACAGCTGTGTGGCACCAGCCCAGTAGAAGCTATTTCGGTGACATTTAGACAAGGACAGAGGGATTCTCTACACAGGTCATTGGCGAGGGGTTCTGATGCATGTGGGGTGTACGGAACACTGTGGGCAGTTCCGAGGCTGTGTCCTGTTGTCACCTGCCCATTTGTAAATCCACACTTTAGATGGGTATAGTTCGCGTTATGGTGGGGACCTAGGAGGCTGTGTACACAGTAGAGTCCCATAATAGATCATTGTTTTTTTTATGAAGGAGTTGAAGGATCTGGTTTCGTGGCCTAAAGAGTGCGCCAGAACCCTGACACATCCCCTGCCGGTCTTGCTGTAGACATTTTATGCTTCTGAGCGAGGCATCAACTTGTTCCATAACTGTACTGAGGAACCTTTTAACTTTGAGGTTGAAGTTTTAAAGTCTGCGATTGAATTAGAGTGCTTAGATTGGGCCGGGGTAGATTGGGGCGGGGGGGGAATAAGCCTTTTAATCTGATTTTGAAGAATTATCTTCCCATTAATACAAAAGCAGGTGCACTGTTGCATTCTATTTCTGAAGGATAGAAATTGTCCATGGTACCAATGCTAATAGACTTCCTGTAATTAATCCACTAGGATTTAGACTACTCTATAAAATGTTTCCTGACCTCTCTTTCATTGGCCATAGGGCGCGTGTACTTGCTGGAGATAGAGACGGGAGTGGAGAAAGTGAGAAAGCACCCCCACGGCGGGGGGATGGCTGCGCTGTGACCCGTCCTCCTCTTGGGATTTGGGGCGAGCATGCACACGCTCCTGGGGTGTGTTTCCAGCCGCGAGCCCAGGACTGACTGGGACTGTGCAGTCCGCATGTGGGCTCAGCCACCCTGACCACATGCCCTGGTGGGCCGTGTCCTGACTGCGTTGGACACCACTCATTGTTAGGAAGGCGGGATTTAGGGATGGGGACAGACATTATGAATGCTTTCCACGTGGCTAGACCAATTTTAGACCTTCTCCAGTATTCTGCACATAACTGTCCCGCGCTCCCTAAAGGGCCCCGTTCTTCAGACTGGGGCGGACTCGGTAACTTGCCGGGGGTGGGTCTGGTCGGCCCTTCCTGCTGGGTCTCGGAGGGCCATGCCCCTCCTCAGTGAACTTGGCACTAGTGGAAAACCCCGTCACCACTCCTCCCCAGGCCTTCTCGTTTGTACTCGCATCCTGTCAGTGCAGCGGAGATGCACGTGGGTGACAGGAGAGGGGCAAAGACCAGACACCGCGGTTGAGCCCCATGGCTAGGAGAGCATCCAACACCCACATTAAGGAAAATAATTCATACTTGGGTTGACATTTTGGAGCTAGGCCATTAACTTGTGTGAGTTAACATCCTGGTGAGAGGGACCAGCAGTTGGCGTAATGGCTACGTCGCTGGACTCCCATGTAGTCAACTGCGGTTCGCGTCCCGGACCCGGTGGCTTAAAACTCACGCTGGGCGCGTGTGCGTGCGTGCCCAAGATCCCGAGAGGAGAATGGAGGAGAAGGGATTGCGGCGTGGCCATCCCCCTGGGGGGTGATTTCTCGCTTTCTGTCTTTCTCTCTCTCTCTCTGTCTTTCTGGCAAGCGCTCAAGCCCTATAGCAAAAACCTCTCCAAAAATATATATATATATCTTGGTGAGGAACACAAAGAAATAATACCTCGTTACCTGAAAACGTGTCTTTGTTTTGTTTTTAACTTCAGCTACGGTACCAGAAGTGCCTGGTAGCCCGACCGCCTTCACAGAAAGTTCGGCCACCTCCTCCGCCAGCAGACTCGATGACCAGGAGAGTCACAACCAATGTAAAACGAGGGGTCTTATCCCTCATTGACACTCTGAAACAGAAACGGCCCGTCACGGAAACACCGTAGCTGCCTCTGTGAGCAACTCTCATGTTCCCCGAAGGTTCGAGAGCTGCGCCGAGAAGAGCAAACCGACACCCGGCCTTCCGATCTGTCGCTGATGCTTTGGCTTCAGAGGATCTATCCCTAACCGGGCAGTGTTAGACAAGCATGTTCTCTCGTCTTGCCACCATCATGTGATATGAAAAGAAGCATGAATACATTTTTTTGCTGTAAGTGACATCTTGAGCAGTGGAAGGTCTTTTTCTTACTGTAAATATCGTGACGTTACTTAACTGCACACACACACAGGAGAATGTGGCCGCACCCCTAACGACCCGCCGTTGCATCCCGGGAGTAAATGATGCCTGTGTTAGTTTCACTGTCGTCTTGACCGGATCTGTCCCCCCGCACCTTCGAGTCCTCCCGCACCCTCCCCGTCTCCAGCATCGGAAGTAGACGCTGCAGACACCACTGAATCGCTGTAAAAATAGGATGACGCGTTTTTATTTGAGTTTTTCATAAAATCGAACCCGCCGGTGGCAAAATTGGCTGTTGGCATCAGGACAGACACCAGCTGGCAGCTTCCTTGGACAAGGTTTCTGACACACGGACTCCATTTCACGTCCACAGCTGTCATGGGATGTTGGAAAGCAAGCAAAACTTTTAAATTGATGACGAACTAAATTGGAGGAATTAAAATCAGACAAAAAAAAAAATAGTAACTTTTTCTTTTCAGGTGGTTTTCAAACTGATTCTTTGAAAAAAAAAAAAAAAGAAAAATCATAATGCATTGTGGGGGGGGACATATTTCAAACTTCTGCCTTATATTGTACAATGCAGCTAGAGAATTCTAGGTCACTATGGCCATTTTCCACGTCAACATGGGGATGAACTTCTTCCCATCATCCTTTCCGCCCTAGTGTGGTGATTAGCCAATATGCAATTTGAAGCTGAGGAAGTGTTGTTAATGTTCTGTTCCCATCAGACATGAGTATTTCAGCCCTCCACCACCCCCGCCTTCTTATTCCGTGTCCTCGCAGCAAGCGTGCTGCAGTCGATCCGTGTCCTCGCAGTAAGCGTGCTGCAGCCGATCCGTGTCCTCGCAGTAAGCGTGCTGCAGTCGGTCCATGTCCTCGCGGTAACGTGCTGCAGTCGGTCCGTGTCCTCGCGGTAACGTACTGCAGTCAGTCCGTGTCCTCGCAGTAAGCGTGCTGCAGCTGTTCCGTGTCCTCGCAGTAAGCGTGCTGCTGCAACTCTGCGTTCAGCCCAGTCTCATTCTGATGCTTTTTGCCCAGAAAGTTGTCCGTCTGTCACTTTGCATTCACAGCAACCAACTACATTAAGTGGAACCTTTCTTAAATCGATGTATATACTAGAATTTGTTAGTTTCAACCAGATACATTTCAAAATTAGTTGTTTTTCTTTTCTCCATTTTTTTCCAGATTGGAAAATTTCATATCAGACATAAGAATAATGGGCTATTTAACAAGTTTCCCCCAAAATAGCAGTTTCCTGCTGCTTTTTGTAGGTCAGAAACTTACCCGTAAAGGTAGACAGATTTTGATTGGTGTGGACATTGTTGTTTTAAAAGGAGGGGCGAAGGAGAGCAGTCTTGGTATTAGTCTCGTCTACTTTTGAATGTCAAAATTCACGTTTACAATATCGTTATAAAAGTAATTCTTTGTTTAGACACTATGTCCTTGTCAGAATGGTTTCCACATTCTTATCACACTCGAGCCTTACAAGGTAGAGGAGGTTCCGAACACACTTGGGAAGTGTAAGTATGAAGCACCAGGAGGCCAATCAGCTGCCCCGGGTTCTCGCCAAAGTCAGTACCAGAACCGGGACTAGAACCCACGCCCCCTCGCTCTCCCCGGTGTACTGTGTCGTGCTGCTGCCACACTAGTCAGGAAGAGCCTGTCCAGAGTGACTCTGGGTGACACAAAGACCAGAATGGAGGTATTCGTTGAGAGGCACGCTTAGAACTCCCTGGGTCAGCAGGGAAATAGGTCCACAGCACAAACGCAGTGGTGTCACCAAGCCACGGCCCCTTGGTCCAGGACTGTCATCTGCAGCTATGGCTCTGCATGGCAGAGGACAGGAGCCTCCATTCACTTCTGCTGTTGATCTAGGAGGTCTTCCAGAGACGATGATACCTGTGGTAGAGATTCCGAGCTCATGGTACCAGAGACCAGGGTAAGCAGACAGCTTCCGGCCAGCCGTTCTGCTCATAATTCAGGGGCAGGGCCGAGGGGCCGGAACCGTCTGCCCGCACCCCTAACGTTAGGACACAAACATGTTTCTGTGGAGTGCATCAGCCTTCTCTCCCGCTTGTCCGTGATTCTGTGTGGAGTAACCGCGTCATCACAGAAATGACCGCCTTAGGGGAATCCTCCCTGCGCCCCTCGAAGGCTGTTGCAATACCGTTCTGCTCTTTCGCCTCGATTTCCACCGTGAGAGGTTCCTGCGTGACCCATTTCTTAATTCTAAACCACAGTCCACTTTTGATCGTGGAAATCTGCCAGAACCCCCTGGCTCTATTTTTTTTTTTTTAAAGTCCTACATCTGTCTGTCTTCAGGATCAAGAATACTGAGCTAGCTTTAAGTAGCAAACTGATTTATATTATATATGCAATCATAGGGCCGCGTTAAGGTGAGTGATTGTCTTTACATATTGGGAACTTGACCACGGCTTGTTTTCAAAATAGCTTTGCATACTCAATGCAAATTAATGTTGTAAATTTCTGTTAAACAGTATGTTCAGACACTTTCTGCCATGGCCAAAAAGTACGTGTGACAGTGTGCGCGCGCGTGTGTGTGTGGGCAAGGATGCCAGTGTGTTGTTCCCTGAGACCGCAGTGACACTTCAGTTAACTATGCATTCTTTCTATCTGGGATTCGGTCAGCAGGCAGCCATGTCCACTAGGCCTCGTATGTCGTATCGTTTTTTTTTAATTAACCTGTTAAATACGGCTTGAAATATTTTTATTTTATTTATTCTATTTTTACTGAAATATACTGCATTATTGTGTTCGTGTACCTTGCCTGGACATCCTCTCTCTCGGCGTGTCCGGGTCTGAGTAATCTCAGTGAACTCTTCGTTGCCTACAAGGTGGTTTTGTAATGATTTGTAGTCACGTTTCTATCAGAATATGTAGAAGAAAAGGCCGAGTGCTTAAAGTTCCTTTTATTTTTTGAAAGCAGCTAGATAGACGCAGACTTGCCGCCTCCCCTGCGTGCTCCTTGCCGGCTTCGCGGGGAGTAACCAACACGCCTATGGCTAGAAACTTCCTTTCAGACTAACGCACCTGCTCGGTGCTCAGTTTTTATATCCCTCACAACGCGTGTGACTTCACGACAGATACGACGTGTCCAGGCGCCCCCTGTCTCCACCCAGAGACATGATCACCCATCGCTCCTTAGCGCCACTGTTCTCTGTCTGTCTGTCTGTCTGTCTGACTGCATGTATGGACATGAGGCCCGTTCCCATTAAAATAAGTTTTGGTGATAAACTGTTGGCACTGCTACTTTTTTAAAATCCACTTTATGGTTTTAAGATGGACGCGGGAGGCGGCCCTTCACCCACCAGGGACCACGAGGCCCGCAGCTTTGCTCCGTGCAGGCCACACTGCCTCTGTGAGCATCGCGACACAGGGTCACTCCAGGGTCTCAGCAACAGGTGTGTCTCCCTGCCCCCGGCAGTGTGTCTAAGCATACCGTTCACTCTCCGCTCGGCCAGGCTTAACCGAGTACACGTCCCACCCAGCGTGCGTGCTCTCCAGCCCGCGAAGAGGAGGTCACTGATTTCTGCTTCAGGCCAGAGACCGCCGCCCGCCCGTGTCCGCGAGAGCGTTCCCTGGCATCCAGCTCGTTTGTCCTAAAAGAATGTTCGCTTTTCCTTTTGCCCCTTTGCTGTCGACCACTTCGCACATTTAAATGTAACCTGTTGTGGGAATAAATTTAGCTGCATAAAGCCTTCGCCTCGTTCTGTCTGACATCTTAGTCACACATCCGGGGAACAGAAGCATTCGCTAGGGTCCCTACACTGACCCTTGTAATTTTACACTAGTCTCTACACGTGGGAGAAGTCCTTTCAGGCGTGTGAGACTGCTTGGATTAGTGCTAGTTAGCATTAGGGTGTTCCTGGCTGGAGCCGGTACCCTCTCCTTTCCGTTTGGGCCATTGGGATGCCGGCACTCTGGACACCGAAGCCTATCTAGGCACCAACCTGAGTCTCGTAAGCAGCCTCGCCAGGAGGAACACATTACAGCACAGAGTCTAGCTTTCACTCCCTTCAAGAGCCTCACTTCAAAAAGTCAAGAATAGATGGGAACCAGCAGTTGGCATAATGGCTATATCACTAGACTCCCATGTAGTCACCCGCGGTTCGTGTCCCGGACCCGGTGGCTTAAAACTCACGCCAGGCGCATGTGCATGCGTGCCCAAGATCCCGAGAGGAGAATGGAGGAGAAGGGATTGCGGCATGGCCATCCCCCCTGGGGGGTGATTTCTCACTTTCTGTCTCTCTGTCTCTTACTGTCTGGTGAGCGCACACGCCCTATAGCGAAAACCTCCCCCCCAAAAAAAAGTCAAGAATAGAGATACACAGGCTCAAAATCCAAAACGAAAGGTGTCTGGAAAGCTCAGTCCCATTTGGCGTGGTTACCTGTCAGGCACGAGGGAGAAGACAGATGGAGTGAAAGCGTGCACACACGTGTGTTCACCTTGCACTTCACCCAGAAGTCTCCCTCTTACCGTACTGAGGACTGCAGCATTCAAGGAACAAAATGTCACTTTGGTTTCAGGTATTATGTAGTGGTTAATAATTTCAGAAGAAAATCCGAATTTGCTATTGGAATATCTGGATTCCAGCAATCTCATTATTCTAGATTTTTGTAGCATGTTCCATAAGAAGTTCAAGACAGTAAAATACCAAACCAGAAAAAGTGTAATTTTCTTCCTTAGCATTCAATCAGATCGCTTTTACTCCAAGTACCCTTCCTTTCTATTCTATCAAAGTATTTTAATAATGTATCCTTTCCTTAGAAGCTTCTCAAAGGGAAACACTGCAGGCTTCAATAATGGTTTAACTCAGAGTCTCCACATACTTCTGAAGAGAAAAATGAGAATGTGTGTTAGGAGATGCTGAAAATGCGTGGTGCAGGTTGCGAGCTGAATCACACGCCGTTACAGAGAAGAAGAGAACACCCTGAACCATCTCGCAGCAGTTCACACTGAGACACGCTTGAAAATCAAAGCTCCGACCTGCTACTTTGGACAATGTAACCCTTTTCAACCCAGGCTGGGAAGAAGGCAGGGAAAGGCTGTTTACAGAACAGGGTGAGATTAAGCCATACTGCCCGGCTAGAGGCATGGAGACCGACAGAGATGTGGGTGGGAATAAGCGAATAAAATGCCTGCTGCACTGAACACACAATTTTATATCATGGAGATAAACATTGTTGATCTTTGAAATGAGCAAAATGAGCATTTAGAACATTTTCTATTCTTTTGTCATAATTAACATAAGAATTGGGATTTAAAATATAAACTTTGTTGAAGTATAAAATTCTTGTTTCCTTTCTTAACTGATACATATCACTGATCCATGTAAATCTTCAGCGACAAGAAAAATAATTACTACTAAATGAAATCATTCTTTTTCATCCTCACTTCAAATGAGAAAATGAAAGATGGAGTAACAGCACTAGAACAGACCCAAATACTCACCTTGCAAAGGCCAATATTCTACTAAAGTCAGGCCACCTGGAAGGACCATTTAGGAATTGACATAAATTTCTGCACAACTGAATTCTGAAAATAAAACTTGCAACTCAAACTTTGTGAATGTTTGAATTTTTTTAAGCATTTATAGTTGTAACTTACTCTATTTAATATTAAACAATTTTCTATTGCCATGATAAAAAAAAAAAATCAGATCCAGAAATGATAATCATACCAATTCTTGGTAGGCAACTGATGGTACATTTCAGATGGACCGACATTTAATATAAGACGGTGCTACAATGTATTTCAATCGTGCATTGCAAATGGACCAAAGTTTGATTACTGTGTGCTGTTCGAAAGAACTCGTCGATTTTGTTGTACGACCTGATCTTTGAATAGAATTCAAAATTTTTATGGGTTTTTTCAATAGATACCATTCGTATTCAGTTTTGTGTCTTCCTCAAGAGTGAACACTTAGGTGGACATTTGCTCCCAGTCGGGGGTTTGGCCTAAGCGGTCAGAGGGGAGAGGTGATCGTGCCAGATCTCAGGGCCCTGGAAGCTCTCCCGATGAGAAACACTCTGTAAGCGGACATCTGAGCTGTGCACACCCGGCCCTTGGAACACCCTGCACTTCCTACTCAAAGCCTCAGTGACGGTACACAGACTCGTGGCATGCCCCACCTGAAGAACAGTGTGATGTGGAAGAAAAAAAACCAACTTCAGTTGCGATTGACAGGGTGAGGCCACCAACTGCCTGAAAACCGAAGAGCAGTCTCGAGCCAGGAGGAGAAGGCCGGTGTCATGCACACCCGAGCTTCCCAATCGACTGCCTCTTGAGTTCGAGATCCTGCTGCGGGCCGCAGTTCCCTTCTGGAGAGTTCGTTGCAGCTTTAGGTCCGTACAGATAGCAGGCGTGAGACAACTTCCAAACACTGGCGCCGAGTCTGCAGCTGAACCTGCTCAAACGGGTCGTGGGTTCCTGAAATCCGCATCCTGCTCTGCAGTCCCCTCTGTTCTTGCCCCTCACGTCGAATCCCCCGAAGCTAACACCACATTTCGAAGACACTAAGTGACCAAAGGATGGCTATCTCGTGAGGGGATGTCTGCTCTTCCAAGAAATACCAGACTTTGAAAATAAAAAACCACTCTCAGCCCCTGTAAAAAACGAGACAGTCAAAGCCATGGCCGAAGACGTCTGTTTAGGGAGGAAGGGACGTTTTCTTTGGGCTTTTCCCCTCTCCTGCACACGGATGGTGTGGGAAGGCAGGTGGACACGAGAGGCTTCGGTCCAGTACGAAAGAAAAGATGTTGACTTGGGATCTGCGATTTGATCCCTGGGGAACTTGGAAACGGCAGAAACACTGGAGGCAGGACAATTTCCACAGGTTTCAGAGCCACCATTCTGTCTTCTGGTCGAGGTCTTCCGAAGTTGGTGTGCCGCTCACATGGCCTGCAGGGCCCGGTGTTCCTCACAGACGTGGCCACTAACGGGTTGGGGGCAGGCTTGCCGGGTTTTCTGATCTGTGAGGGAACACCCACTTGGGCTGCGCCCTTCTGTGGGAGAGGTGTCTTTGTGGCCACCATCTCTGATCGATTGGCATTCGCCTTAGTTTCTCTACTCAGGAACTCAGCGATTTTCAGCTGGACGCCATTCTCTGTCATGGAAGCTTTGGGCAAGAGCATTTTTGATTTTTTCTTCTTCTTCTCCTTTTTGGCTGATTTCCCCAACTCAATCCCATCCAGTAGACCCTTTGCTGCAGCTCGGGCCAAAACATCTTTCACAGACACCGTCTCAGATGGATCCCGCTGCAAGGGAAGAGGCAGTCGGTAAACGTGGAGTCAGTTCTTGTGGATATTACAGACATTGTCCCAGTGTCTCCGTAGGAAATTGGGGATCTTCGTTATACTCAGTTTTTAAGCCTTAGTTACTAATGCATCTCATAACCCTAGGAGATGACTTTTTTTTTTTTTTTAACTTAAAGCTGCCCATTTATTAACCTGATAGTTTACATACTTTGTTCTTTTACGTTAGGGAAGATGCACCAGATCTCGACTAAGTGCTTGGAGGGATGCGGGTACAGGGCAGGCAAAGAAGAATGTCAGAAGTGTAAAGACCAGGGATTAATTGCCACATTGCAGTAATTCTTTTTCCTGCCAGTTAGCTATTACGGAATAAAGGCATGCTGTTACAAAATGTTTACAGAGCGCCTGGGTTCCTCTTAAGAGGCTTTGTTGTTTCCTAGTTCCAAAATATGACATAGGTTAGTATTTTTTTTTTCTTACCTCCCTTGTTAAAATAGAAATAAAACAACCATTGGTAATCTCAGATGGTTCCATTCTGAAAAATTTATCCGTAGACAAATGTATTTCCTTTAAGGAGCACAGTGGGAGAACAGGAGGGCTGAGCCTGCAGTAGAGATGAACAAACATTTAATGGTTAGAGTGCCTTCTCTGACAAGAGGAGAAAAAAGTTATTGCAGCTAAATTTTCTTATGTTTTGCCAATCATTTAAATAAAAATTCCAGGCCCAGCCTCAGTGGCATGCACTGCTGAAATGCGTATCCCACAGGCTGGGACCATGCAGAACCTCAGGGCCAGTGAGGTGGCATGCACCGTAATCCCAGCTGCTCAGAGGGCTGAGGCAGGAGGATGGCAAGCTCGAGGCTGGCCTAGGTGACACCATGACAGCCTGTCTACAGAAGAGCTGGGCATGGTGGCCTGCACCTGCAGTGCGTGCTGGGTGGTTGGGGCAGGAGATACAGCACGACCCAGTCTTACAGCAAGACCCAGTCTTACAGCAAAATACCAGCTAACAGTAAAACGCTGAAGCAGTCTTTCCCACATACTATTATACATCAAAAGCTCTAATATTTCTGTTAGCTTACAATTTATTATACTTCCCAAATTCTTCATCTTTAAACAACTACGCCAAGCATAATAAACTTTCAGCAAACAAACATGTCTCTTCCCCAAGTCACTAATGTGATAACCAAAGGCTTCCAGCACCAAAACAAGTAAATATGTAGAAAACCACAAAGACTGCATGCAAACTTTCCTAAATTTCCATGTTCTCGAAATACAAAATGTATGGGACTAGCAGTTAGCGTAAGGGCTATGTCGCTGGACTCCATGTAGCTGACTGCGGTTCGAGTCCCGGACCTGGCGGCTTAAACTCATGCCGGGCACGTGTGCATGCGTGCCCAAGATCCCGAGAGGAGAATGGAGAAGGGACTGTGGCATGGCCATCCCCCCTGGGGGGTGATTTCTCGCTTTCTATCTCTCCGTCTCTCTCTGTCTGGCGAGCGCACGCGCCCTATAGCAAAAACCTCTCTAAAAAAAAAAAAAGTATGACTTCCTTCTTTTGATTACTTGTTGTCCAATTATAATATAAAAGTAATAGCTTATTGTTTTAACGTTATTCCTCCCACTTTTTTAGTATCAATGGATAAGCTATGTGGTGCTCAAACAAGTACATAAAAAAGGATATTTTGTGTTAAAAATACAGAAATTCCTAAACACAAAAATGTTTTACAGTTAGTTTTTATACTTAAATCTCACTTAATAGTGGTTTGCTCATAACCAATGATTCTTATATTCCACTGTTTTACGAATTAAAATATATTTAATAATTCAAATAATTTAATAGGCTAGAGGCCATCTCAGGACACACGGGATTCTGCTTTGAGGTGCACCGGGCACCAGCACGGCTGCTTCTACCTGGAGTTCAGCTTTGGCATTCGACTCCCACATAGTTGACTGCAGTTCACGTCCCAGACCCGGTGGCTTAAAACTCACCCCGGGCGCGTGTGCATGCATGCCCAAGATCCCGAAAGGAGAATGGAGGAGAAGGGATTGCGGCGAGACCATCCCCCCTGCGGGATGATTTCTCACTTTCTGTCTCTCTGTCTCTCTCTGTCTGTCTGGTGAGCGCATGCGCCCTATAGCAAAAATCTTTCCAAAAAAAGAAAAATAAGTTAAGAGCAGATGTTTAAGACACCTCACTCATTGTCGCAGTCTTCGAAAACTGGCATCATTTATCCTTAGAGCTACCCCTGATCGCGATGTTCACAGCTCAGACTACACCATCAATGCTGTTTCTCACCACCCTAAGCTCATGGTAGCATTTTACCCAGAAGCTAATGCAGACATCTAAATTGCTTTCACCTCAGTCCTGGTGGGTATCAACAGCTAAAATGGTTTAGAGATGTATGAGTTTTCAGATCATCCAACTTTCTGTCTACTTTGTAAGAGTATTTTACAGACTACGTTTTATTAAAGCATGCGTGTATCTAAACCAGGAATATGAAATTTGGACCCAGTTATGCAGAAACCAATCAAATCAAAGCCAAATGCCTTTAACAACACTAACAAATGCAAAAGAATCTTCTTTAAAGTGTATTTCCCATGAGCAAGAGTGACAGAGAGAGAGAAAGACAGCACCCCTAAGAGGGCCTTGATGCTGTCAGGCAGCCTCCCCAGACCCAGATGAGGAACAAGCGTGGGCCAGAGTACTAGGGAGCCTTCCTGAACTTGAACCCAGAACCTTCCCATGTAGGAATGCTTCTCAGAGCAATCTGACCCCAGTTTTTCCATCGTGTCACCATCTGGCCCCCAAATCCTTTAATGTATAAGAAAACTCTCACACCAAGCTCTTACAAAGTTCCTGCAGAATCCTCTTTAAAGTTGTAAGAATTTCAGCTTTTTGATAATATGAAGGTGTAATTTTTTTTTTTTTTTGAGAGGTTTTTGCTATAGGACGCATGTGCTCGCCAGACAGACAGACAGAGACAGAAAGTGAGAAATCACCCCCCGGGAGGATGGCCATGCCGCAATCCCTTCTCTTCCATTCTCCTCTCAGGATCCTGCACACATACACACACACACACACACACACACACACACACTCACACACAGTCGGCATGAGGTTTTGGTTTTTTTTTTTGGAGAGGTTTTCACTATAGGGCACGTGCGCTCACCAGACAGGGAGAGACATAGAGACAGAAAGCGAGAAATCAGCCCCCAGGGGGGATGGCCATGCCGCAGTCCCTTCTCCTCCATTCTCCTCTCGGGATCTTGGGCATGCACGCGCATGCGCCCGGCGTGAGTTTTTAAGCCACCAGGTCCAGGACTTGAACCGCGGTTGACTACGTGGGAGTCCAGAGACATAGCCATTACGCTATCTGCTGGTCCCTCACCCGGCATGAGTTTTAAGTCACCGGGTCCAGGACGCGAACCGCGGTGGACTACATGGGAGTCCAGCGACATAGCCATTACACTAACTGCTGGTCCCATGAAGGAGTAATTTTTTAAAAAAGGTAGAACATCCATATGTAACTTAAATAAATGTCGTATTCTGAGTTGTCTCGAAAAAGCCTTCCTTTTCTTACCTGTACGGCTGTACTTTAATCCCAGGGTCTTGGAAGTCCAGTGCTTTCTTAACAACAGCTTCATTTTCTTCTGGATAAACTGAGCATGTGCAGTAAACAACGGCCTGAGCTTTGGTAACTGCATTTAAAGAAGATGTCATCAATATAGTGACCCCGAGAATAGTCCTGTACAAATGTGCTATGTTCTCAGACACCTAATGGATACGAATACCATATGATTTTTTAAAATTTTATTACTTTTTAAAATGTTTGCTATAGGGCACGTATGCTCACCTGAGAGAGACAGAGAGAAAAAGTAAAAAAGCAAGCCACCAGGTCCAGGACTCAAATCGGGGTCAGCCATGCAGGGATCCAGTACTTTAACCACCACGCCACCTGCTGGCCCCGATACCATATGATTTTGAAGGGAATAATTTCCCAAGACACTTAAACGATTCCTCTTTAAAGCAAAACTTTGGATTAGTAATACAATCTGTAGCTAATAAGTAAAGTAAATCTAACTGGATTGTACAGAAGTTGAAAATTCAATGGGACCAGCCTGGTTATAAATACACACAAAAAATTATATTACTAGGAACTTGACACTCCAGCCATTACTCCACAAGCCAAACTGCCTAATCAGTCTGTTTAAAGGACTCTAAAAACAGATTCGTTGGGAATCCCAATGCTGTCGCTTACTGCTGCATGGGCCTGGGCAATTTACTTAGTCTCAGACCTTCCATCTGTACAGTGAGTAACACCTCTTACTGCAGTTGACTCATCCACCCACTCTCAGGAACAATGACCACATGCCAGGCGTGTCCTAGGCTTTGGGATACAATTAGGGAACAACTCAGACAAAAAATCCCTCCCCTCTAACGCTTACTTCCCAGTAGGGGGACAGACATAATAGGAAAACTACATAGTATTCGTTAGGTGATAAATGCTATGGAGAAAAACATAAGTGAGTTTTATTTTTCTTTCTTTTTAGATTTTTTGCCATAGGGCATATGCACTCACTGGAGAGAGACAGAGGCAGAGGGAAAGGGAGAAATCACCCCTTCTCGAACATTCTCTCAGGATTTGGGGCACATATCCACATGCGCCTGGTGTTTTTTTTCAAGCCGCCAGGTCCAGGACTTGAACCAAGCAGTTGGCCATACGGAATCCAGTGCCTTAACCACCATGCCACCTGCTGGCCCCAATAATGCTTGTAGACAGAGAAAGCATCGCTGAGATGGCAAACTGAGTAGACGAGAAGGACCATAGGGAGCCACCACAGAGCTATCTGGGGAAGGGTGTTGGGAAGGAAGGGAACAGCAAGTATGAAGGCTGATGTGGATGTGGGCCTGCCAAGTTCAAGGAAGTCAAGTGTACCCTCAGTCTTATTCAGGGTAGACAGAATGAGGGCAGAGTAGCGGGAGATGCAGTCAGAAAGCACCAGCTAGGGGCCCAGCAGACGGTATTGTGGTTATTGGACTCCCACGTAGTGCTCACTGGACTCCCATGTGACCAGCATGGGAGGTCAACTGTAGCTGACCACAGTTTGAGTCCCAGAACTAGAGGCTTAAAACTCACGCCAGGCATGAGTGCATGTGTGCCCAAGATCCTGAAAGGAGAATGAAGAAGGGATTGCAGCGTGGCCATGCTCCCTAGGGAAGGGGTGAGTTCTCACTTTCTGTCTGTCTCTCTCTGTCTCTCCAGCGAGCACATGTATCCTATAGCAAAAATAAAAATCCTTCTTTAAAAAAAAACAAACACCAGATAGTACAGGGACTCGTAGCGCATTGGAAGGATGTAAGTTTTTACTCTGATTATGATGCGTTTTAACAAGCTCACTCCAATTGCTATGTTGAGAACAGACTTCAGGGGGCAGGGAGGGAAGCTGGTAACAGGTGAAACTACCGTGAGAACAGTAAGCCAGCCGTGTGGTGACTGATCTAGACAGGGTTGGTGTGGAGGTGGCTGCGTTCTGGATAGATGCTGAATGTAGAAGCCACCTCAGGGGCTCCCAGGCTGGCGGTGAGTATGAAAGAAGAGTCATGGATGGTGCTGACATTGTTAGTCTGAGCAACAGGTGAACTGAAGTGGCAGGACTCCAGGGAGGACAGGTCTGGAGGACTTCCATGGTGGACACGTGAACCTGAGATGCCCGTTCTTCACTAAGTGGGCATGTCAACAGGCGGCTTTTCCCCCGGTGATTCCCTACCTCCTACACACCTCCCATCTCCCACCCTCCTCCCACACTGTCTCCAGTACCCACACTTGTTCTCCATGCTTTCTTATCTTCCAGTCTTTCCGTGTCTGCCACAGAGTGCAGACATCCGATACGCTAGGTTGGTGGGAAGGTCAGGACAGAGTTTTCTTGATTTTTGTTGTAGGGCACATGCACTCACCCAAGAGACAGAGATAGAAAGCGAGAAATCTTCCCCCAGGGCGATGGCCACACCACAATCCCTTCTCCTCCATTCTCCTCTTGGGATTTTGGGCACGCATTTACGCATGCCCAGCATGAGCTTCAAGCCTCTGGCTCCTAAACTCAAACCGCAGCCCTAAACTCAAACTCCAGGTGGGAGGTTAGTGACATAACCTTTATACCATCTGTTGGTCCCAATTAACATATTTTTTCTATGACTTTCCCAACAACCCTATATATGCATGTATGTATACATGTGTGTGTGTTTAAATATATATTTTTAAAAATTTTAAGTAAGTCATGTAAAAAAATGTATGATTTACCAACTTTTGATCTCCCAATCAACTTATCTCATAGATCATATACATATTATCACATTTATTTATTTTTTCCAAACACAAGCCTTTTTATTGGAAAGAAGGCCAAATGTATTTGATATTAAAATAGTCTTATAGGATTGCAATTAAAATGAAATGTGATATATCAATGTATATAGCAGTTGTATAAACAAAAAAAAAATTTTTGTTTTTGGTTATCTTCTGGAAGACTTCACAAGACCTTGGTAACAATAGTAGCTATTATGAAAGGGAACTAGAAAGGAAGAGTTTGGGGTATTAAAACTTATATGTCGGAGCCAGCAGGTGGCATGGTGATCAAGGGCACTGGATTCCCACATGGCCAACTGTGGTTTGAGTCCCAGACCCGGAGGCTTGCTTTCTCTCTCTCTCTCTCTCTCTCTCTCTCTTTCTCCCTGTGTGTCTCTCTCTGGAAATATTAAAATAATAATAATAAAGTTAAATAATTATTAAAAAAAACTTACATGTCTTTTCAAGTTGGACCATGTGCACGTATTACCCATAAATACACAAATACATATTTTTTAAACAGTGAGCTTTTATTATTGTCAACAACAGAGAAGAGTTAAGCTTGAAGTCTTTGGGAAGTCAGTCTCCCCACTTGAAGTACAAAAGCTACAGAAGTGGCTGGAGGAGCTTTCTCGGAAGTTCCCTTCCTCCTGCCACCATGCAGGCGGCACTGCAGCGGAACCACCCTCCTGTGATCAGCAGGGATGGCACCAGACACCTTCCAGAACGAGCACCTGTGAGGAGACAGAGCAGGCACGCTCCTGTGGGTCAGGCCCTCATGGCAGCGGGTGAGAATCATTGTTGTGACCCCTCTGCTCTCCCGTCTCCAGTCCCGTTACTCTCCAGATGCATCCTCTGTTCTTTGGCCACAGCGTTTGATTCTGAAGATGATATTGAACAAGTCCTTGTCACTCTGAGGCTGAACTCTCACTTGACTTGGAAGACGTGTTTCTTCTTTTACTTTCCTGTCCTCCTTTTCTTTCTTCTTCTGGTGTTTCTCTTCACATTCTGAGGAAGGCGCCACTCTCACCTTCATCCAAGGTGGATCCTCCAGTAACTGCCTGGATTGCTATGCCCTCATAGCCTTCTCAGGTCTTTTTCTCCCCTGTAATCACACACGGGATCTCCCTGCACTGCTAACTGGGACTTCTTCCCCAGGCACATCCACAGTCCTGTCGTCGGAGCATGAGCAGACATTCCCTGGCATGTGGGTTGCCTGGCACGGCTGGTACAGTCTTCTGGCTTCGCCTGCCTTCCTTAATCAGCCCCAGATGTGGTTTTTCAGGCAGGGACTCCTAGTATTTGAGCCGCTGCAGCAGCTCCTGCTGGGCGGCTCTGGAGGCCTCTGTGCAACCCCCACATGGTTCTGCCTGGGCTGAGACCAGCTCCCTGGCACCCACCTGCCGCCTGGCCAGGTGGAGCCTGTGTCCCGGCGAGGGCGCCCCTGCCCGCCGCCCCAGTCCCTGCCCTGCTGCCCGGCCCCTCCTCTCACACTTAAATGAATGACTACTGCAACATCAGCTAAGAGGGTAGACCTCCTCAGTGCTCTGTCTAGCCTATTTCTATGCTGTGTCTTTATGTACCAACAACCTATCCCCATGGTATTGGGCCTTCATCAGAATTCATGCTCAATGCCTAACATCTAACTTAATGTCTGACCAAGTGCAGGTCCTTGATAAATACACACTAAATTAGTAAGTTTGGGGCCAGCAGACGGCATAGGGATTAAGGCGCTGGACTCCCATCTGACCAACCATGGCTTAATCCTGGACCTAATGCTTGAAAATTTATCTGGATGCATGTGCGCATGTGCCCAAATCCCCGGAGAAGAATGGAGGAGGAGAGATTGTGGCATGGCCATCCCCCTGGACAGTGACTTCTCATTTTTCCTCTCACTGTCTCTGTCTCTCTTCCGGGAGCACACACGCCCTATAGCAAAACCCTTGAAAAAGGTAAAACATCTCTGTCTCTCTGGTGATTGCACCAGCCCTAGAGCAAAAATCTCTCTAAAAAATAATTAAAAACAACGAACGTTTGGGACCAGCAGTTGGTGTAATGGCTACATTGCTGGACTCCCATAGAGTCGACTGCGGTTCGAGTCCTGGACCCAGTGGCTTAAACTCACTCTGGGCACATGTGCATGTGTGCCCAACATCCCAAGAGGAGAATAGAGGAGAAGGGATTGCGGCGTGGCCACCCCCTCTGGGGAGTGATTTCTCACTTTCTGTCTCTCTCTGTCTTTCTGGCAAGCGCATGCACCCTATAGCAAAACCTCTCAAAAAAAAAAAAAAGTTTATTAATATTCCAGATTTCTAAATTCCATGTCCACAGGTACTCATGGAAACACTCAAACCTTATACTCAGACTTCAAAACAAGACATCTAGGCTTTACCTGCAATTGCACCTCTCTATGTAGCAGTAAGAGAAATAAAGCTTTATAACATTTAGACTCTAGAATAGAGTTGTTAGGGGTAGCACATTGACAATAAAACATTAAATTATGCAAGAAGTAAAATAAAAATCAGAAAGATGAAAGTGTACAATTACAGATGTACATAATTATTTCAGCATTGTTAAATTGTGCTTACTAAACTATGTTAAAGCATATATTTTTAAAGGACTTAGATTGAATTTATAAAAATATTTTGAAGACAGGGACCAGCAGTTAGCGTAATGGCTATGTCGCTGGACTCCCACATAGTCGACCACAGTTCGAGTCCTGGACCCGGTGGCTTAAACTCACACTGGGCGCATGTGCGTGTGTGCCCAAGATCCCGAGAGGAGAATGGAGGAGAAGGGATTGCGGTGTGGCCATCCCCCTTGGGGGGTGATTTCTCGCTTTCTGTCTCTGTCTCTCTCTGTCTTTCTGGTGAGCACACGCACCCTATAGCAAAAACACCTCCAAAAAAAAAAATATATATATATATATTGGGACCAGCGGGTGGCGTGGTGGTTAAGGTGCTGGACACTCCCACATGGCTGACCAGGGTTTGAGTATTGTTTTTTTTTTTTGAAGACAGTAAGACTGAATGTTCTGAAAAATCTGCTAAGGTCCATTCTTCACAGCCTGACTGAAATAAATGAGTAGTCATGTTCCTGAGATTTACGCCATATCTTAGAAAGACTCTACTGCTGACCAACTTACATCTCATGGCATGCACTAGCTGTTCATACTGCTGCTGAGCAAGAACATGAAGTTTCTCTTCTGATGTGCCGCCTTGAGAGAGATCTTTAAGTAAACCTGTATCTAAATTGTGAAAAATGGTTATAAATATCTCAATTAGGTACTTTTTAAAAAAGAATTCTTTCAATTTTTTTTATTCATTCATTCATTTACTTTAATTTGACCAGAGAGAGAGAGAGAAAGTGAGAAAGCAAACCACTAGGTCCAGGACTTGAACTGTGGTCAGCCACGTGGGAGTGGCCAGCACCTTAACTGCCACTCCACCTGCTGGCCCCCAGGTACGTTTCAAATATTATTTTCACATTATAGTTCAATAATTTTGCCTGCTAACAAACTTTTTATTAGAAACTATTAAAACTAGACTCTCAAATGGCCAGTCACAGTCTGAATCCAGGACCTGGAGGCTTGCTTTCTCACTTTCTCTCTCCCTCTCTCTCTTTCTCCCTCCCCCACCTCTGGTAAGCACATTTGCCCTCTAGCAAGTTAAAAAAATAATTATTATTATAAATAAAATTAAATAATTCTTGAAAATACTTTTTCAACCAATTTCAATAATTTCAAGACTAAAAGAAGTACCTTCGTGTTCATTTAAAATAAACTCTACAGGATTACTAACACCCAGTCCCGAACACCGAGGTAGCAGCAGAATCACTTTCACTTTCTGTAACCTGTGATCCTTTGATTCAATGTTGGTGAATGCTTCACGAAGAATTTCAATATCTCGGAGGAAAAAATAGATTAAAAAATGTTAAAAATCTTAATGCAGTACATGGTTAGATCTATTAATTATTCAGTTTTAAATCCTTAATCCTACAAACGCTTTCAATGTAGTTAGAAAAAAAGGCTAGTTGTTTTTTTTTTCTTGGGGGGGGGGGACTTCCAAAGGGGGGGAACTTCCAAAGTTAACAAGGAATTCTCTTGATAAGAGTGAAAACACTTTTATTTAAAATCTTCCATTCTGAACTTCAGATTCAATGTGAAGTAGCATGATACAGTGGGGAAGGTGGACTTTGGAGGCAGAAAGACTCCAGTCGGCTCCCAACTCAGGGCTTTCTGTGCGTCTTAATCTCTCCACGCCTCTATGCCCTCGTCCAGAAAGTGGAACGTCTACCCCAGATCACTGTGCTGAAGCCTGAAATAAGGCAGCGAGGCTTAGCGTGGCGTCTAGTGAACAAACCAATGCTGGTTATTTTCCTTTCTCATGTTTTAATAACTCCCTTTCATACCTTCCCTTCTCCAGACTAAAACACGCAGACCAGGAGTATGTAAAAGGCAGTCTAAGCAGCTGAGCTCATACATGCTGGTGTGAAGCGTCAGCCGCACGCCAGGGCCCTGACATTTGGTCTGAGAGTCTGCCTTCCCTCCAGGTAAAACGTTTATGCCTTTACCTTACGCCCAACCCACTTCTTCGGTGGCTCCTATTCCCCTCCCAAGCCGAACCATCACTCCTGAGATCGCACCACCCACTTATTCTGCCTGTGTCGAAATAAGAGTTCTGAGATGCAGTCCCTTTGTGCTCAGTCCATCTCTCTCCCTCTTTTAATTTGCTATAGGGCATGTGTGCTCTCCAGAGAGAGACAGAGAGGGAAAGCAAGGAGTACCCCCCAGGGAGCATGGCCACGCCGCAGTCTCGCCTCCATTCTCTCTCGGGACTTGAGCACACACGCACACCAGTTCTGTGGTTTTTTTCAAAAGCCACTGGGTCCAGGACTTGAACTACACAGTAAGTCATGTGGGATTCAACCACCTTCACCATCACACCTCCTAGCTGTTCTGAAAAAAAATAAATAAATAAAAGTAAACTTTTGGGACCAGCAGTTAGCGTAATGGCTATGTCACTGAACTCCCATGTAGTCAATTGTGGGTTCAAGTCCTGGACCCGGTAGCCTAAACTCTCGCCGGGCACATGTGTGTGCGTGCCCAAGATCCCGAGAGGAGAATGGAGGAGAAGGGATTGCGGTGTGGCCATCCCCCCCGGGGGGTGATTTCTCGCTTTCTGTCTCTCTGTCTCTCTCTGTCTTTCTGGCGAGCGCACACGCCCTAGAGCAAAAACCTCTAAAAAAAAATAATAAACTTTTGACTTTTGAACCTGGGCCCTTCTTAAGTGGATAAGCCTCACAGAGCGCTGCACGCTAGTCAGCTCTATCTTTTCTTATTTTTTCTAATGATATTTTGTAGTTTTTCAGATATAAGTCTTATAATTTCTTCATTAAACTTATTCCTAAAAGTTTTATTATTTCCGATGTTATTTTCTTTCATTTTTAGTTTCTTTACTGGTGGTGTATAGGGATACAATAGATTTTATATATTCACTTTATATCCTGCAATCTCATTATAGAAATATAGTTTTCTAAATGGAAACAATAGTTTTTTTTTTCATGGATTTCTTAGAATTTTCTATACCAAGGCTGTTTGCTAGTTCTAGACACCTTTGCTTTTTATATTTTGAGAGTATGGTATTAGGTAAATACATCTTTACTACCGTTTATATTCTCCTGATGAATCAAAACTTTAATAGTAATATATGTCTTTATTTCTAGTCATGTTTTTTTAATCTGTTCACACGTAATGGCTATGTTGCTGGACTCCCATGTAGTCGACCACAGTTCAAGTCCTGGACCTGGTGGCTTAAACTCACGCCGGGTGCATGTGTGTGCGTGCCCAAGATTCCAAGAGGAGAATGGAGGAGAAGGGATTGCGGCGTGACCATCCCCCCTGGGGGGTGATTTCTCGCTTTCTGTCTCTATGTCTCTGTCTTTCTGGCGAGCACACATGCCCTATAGCCAAAACCTCTCCAAAAAAAGAAAAAAAAAAAAAGTCAAACACTATTGTAAAGTACCAAGATATTAATTTAACCTACAAATGTTTAACCAACATTAAACAATAACTTGATATAAGCTATTTTAAGAGTTTGTTTACATCTATAGTTTTTATATTATGAAAAAAATTTAAACAACTTTAATATTTCTTAAATCTTTTTTTTTTTTTGAGATTTTCACTGTAGGGCGCGTGCGCTCACCAGACAGACAGAGAGAGACATAGAGACAGAAAGCGAGAAATCACCCCCCAGGGGGGATGGTCACGCCGCAATCCCTTCTCCTTCATTCTCCTCTCGGGATCTTGGGCACGCACGCACACGCGCCCGGCGTGAGATTTAAGCCACCGGGTCCGGGACACGAACCGCGGTCGACTACGTGGGAATCCAGCGACATAGCCATTACGCTAACTGCTGGTTCCCAATATTTCTTAAATCTTGTAGAACAAGAATTACCAAACAAATATGTGTACATACTTTTACATCCCATTTTTGCAAAAAGCTTCTTCGAGTCAGGATCCTTAGCTTGTGCACGTACTCCACACACAAATACCTTTGAAGTATTGTTATGGGTTAAGATTGCCATGTGGGCGACTGTGTACCATGACCCTGTATTGACCATTAAGATATCATCGTCCATATTTAGTAAAGCCTTTACAGAGTGGACAGCAAGACTTCGAGATTTGTCCTGCAAGATAATGACACGATTAGGATTTCGAAGGATACGACTAGAAACATAAGCTGATTTATTTTTGCCTTCAATCGAAGAAAGTTCTTAGTAGGACTCTTGAAGAAATACTTAATTCATTTTAGTTTAAAACATCTCAATAAGTTAACAAAAATAAGTGACAAATATATTTCAGACGAAAAGCTCAACTTTGTTTAGCCTAAATTATAAGCTGATTTCTTTCTGCTTTAGATGAAAGAAAGGACTTAGTAGGAATCTTAAGGAGATATTTAATTCATTTTAGTTTAAAACACCTCAATATATATTTAAATTAAAAAGTTAACAGAAATAGCTAATAAATATATTTAAACTAAAGGCTCAACTTTGTTTAGCTTAAATTATGACTGCTATCATTTAATTTTTGTACACTGATAAGGTAATGCCAAAATCTCTAAAATATGATTAATAAGTTAATAATGTCTTGTCTCAGCCCCCTTTATTCCTCTTTACCAAAAACTTACTTATCTGCTATTGCTATTTTTTCTTTCCCACTACACTGCCACCTAAACTGCTATTAGATCACAGAGGTTGAAATTAAAATATATGAGAAGTTTATAAAAGGAGGTTGGCAGATTGAGTTTCACAGTGCTTGACAGGATAAGGCAGGTGTGGAGAAGAAATACACCTTAGAAGACCAGGGTGAATCTGAGGCAAAAATCTGAATATAAGGATGTAAAAATAAATTTAACCAGGCCCAGCAGGTGGTGTGGTGGTTAAGGCATTGGACTCCCACATAGCTGACCATAGATTGAGTACCAGGCCTGGCAGCTTGAAAATCACATGCATGCCCAAAATCCCAAGAGGAGAATGGAGCAGAAGGGATTATGGTGTGGCCAACCCTCCTGAAGGGTGATTTCTCACTTTCCTTCTCACTGTCTCTGTCTCTCTCCAGTGAATACATACCCTATAGCAAAAACTTAAAAAGCACGAATAATAATAATAAAGTCTACAATGTTGAGAAAAAATAAAATAGATTTAACTTAATATTTCCTACCTTTTGTTTTTTCAATCTATTGAAACCTTATCTCATATTTACTTGCTATACTGATAGCCATTATATACCTCTCACGAATCAAAGCTTTATGCTATATTAAAGAGATTATGACAAAGTATTTTCCTTTTCATAGGAAATAGAAGGAAGAAAAGACCCCATTGTACCATCTGTGAATTTTCTCTTAGAAGAGAAAACATAGAGGGTTTCAGCTCTCAGTAATACAAATCTTCCCATCTGTGGGGTCTGAGGAGGAGAATATGTCCTTTAATTTCACATGAGACAAAAATGCCAAGAGATGGGACCAGCAGTTAGTGTAATGGCTGTTGCTGGACTCCCATGTAGTTGACCGTGGTTCAAGTCCCAGACCTGGTGGCTTAAACTCATGCCGGGCACGTGTCCGTGGGTGCCCAATATCCCGAGAGGAGAATGGAGGAGAAGGGTGGCCATCCCCCTGGGGGGTGATTTCTCACTTTCTCTCTGTCTCTCTGTCTTTCTGGCGAGCGCACACGCCCTAAGCAAAAAACTTCTCCAAAAAATAAATAAATAAATAAAATAATAGATATAATAGAAGCACTGATTATAGAATATCATTTTATTCAAGGTGACAATTAGACCTCACAAACCTTCCTGTTAAATAGTATTATAAACAGCAATATGAACAGTGTTGTCTTATTTTTAGAGATTCTTTGACTAAGATTACTGAGCATCAGAATAAACATGAATATTAGTTTACCTGAAAAACAAGTTTATAATCTTTGAAAAGATCTGTATTTATGAGATCATTTTTATGATGAGATGGAAAAATTAAGACATCATAGCAATGTTGGTCCACTGCAAAGACTTTATCGTCAACATGCAAAACAGACTTGACTTGAATATAGCCTTTTCTCTTCAAATTATCATAAACATCTTCAGGGCTGTTAATATACAACAGTACGCTATGGTTACAAATAGAATACGTTAAAATGTAGTTAATACTAACATGCCTTTTTCCTACCATAAAGAAAAATAACTCTGGTTATATTGCAGCTAATGGAACTCACAATTTTACCTAGCAATAAATTAAAAGATAAGAGACAGAAAAGTTAGTATATTTATGTAATTACCTTTGGTAATTTGGTGATAAGATCTGGAATTGATTGTCTAATTGCCTAATGACGCCCTCAAATGTGTCCCAACCCCATTAAATGATCTTGTTCTAAAAGGATGGAAGGTCTTAATGAGTAAGAATATGATCTGAACTCTTACCTGATTTTACAAGTATTGATCCAAGCATAAAGCGGCAGCGTGGAGGCCCTCAGCTCCTGTTTCCTAACCGTTTCTGGCAGGATGTGGTAAATAGAAAGGGCATCATGTTTGATTCGACACCTTGCCAAGGCCGCGGCCAGTTTTACCTTGAAACTAGAAACAGAAAAGCCATGCTTCATGACAATTGCATGGAAGACTCAATTTTATACCAAAAAAACATGAAGGAATTATGAATTATATTGAGTTTTAGCAAATTCTTCTATAACTCCACTGGAAATGTTTGAAGTTTAAAATAAAAATGTACAGTTTTGAAAATACCAATCAAATAACCCTGATTCCTTTTTTCTATTTTTCTTGTATAGGTGTGCATTTCCTCAAATATTTAGAGCAACTGCTGGTTCCACGACAAATGTAATTCAGTGTGAAGGGTGTGGTAACCTTGTAATGGAATCCGGGTTCTGTCGCTTACTAGCTCTGCGACCCTAGGACTGCGGCTCGGAGTCCTTTCTCAGCCTCAGCTCTCATCTGCAGCAGGTAGTCAAATTACCTTGCTATTAGTGCAGGGATTACCAGTCACGTGTGCAAAACACTTAGCACGGCGCCTCGCACACAGCAAGCACGCGTTACAGTCATACAGGGAAACTATACAGTCTTGCTAAGATTCAGGAACGTTCGTGAATCTCTATCAAGTCTTTCCCGGTTCTGAATATCCCATGCCTGGAAGCTCCAAATAATAAGTAAAAAAAACTGTTTAGCATCACCATGAAATTTCAATGACTTTTTTTCTGTTATCATAGCCCACACTTTTTAAATTTCAAGAGTTCCACAAGAAAAAGAAAGACAGAGAATCAACCCTACAGGGTCTTTGCGCCTCAATGCGCCTGTAGCTTTTGCCAGTCCAGATCACAGACACATGCATGCATACCTGTCGCACAGAGGGAGGCCCTGGGCCATGAACCAGGTGAAAAGTCCAAGCCAGGTACCAGCACCTACCAAGAACCTGCTTGGGCATCATTATATGGTAGAAGGTGAGTGAGTACCAGAGAGTGACCCACTCCCCCACGCCTTTTTCATAATGGCACCAGGCTACCATGCCGGCAAAGCCCTCCGTCCTGAATACCTTATTAGATCCCACCTCCAACACTGTGACGTCAGTTGCCAACACATGAATTCTCAGGGGCTTATTTAAACCATAGCACGTAGTAACAGTATTTACTGACCGGTTTCCTGTACGTCTGGTTCTAAGCTGAGCATTTTATATGCGTGAGTTTAATTCACTCTTCCAAACACTCTTTGAGGTATCTTTTATTACCAGCTTCCGCTGATATTTAGGATGAAAGAAAACAAATTTTACAATGTTGGTTCTTAACTAAGTAGAGTGTTTTTCCAATTTAGTCAAATGATATATTTGTTCATGTTTTTCTGTACGAAGGTACATCATGACTTTTCCAGTGACCCAATAATTACTGCTGAGATTTTCTCACTTGACACATTAGGTTTTTAAAAAATTATTTATTTATTTTATTTTACTTATTATTATTGTTATTATTATTATTTAATATTCTATAGGGCACATGTGCTCGCCAGAAAGAAAGAGAGAGAAAGGAAGAAAGCGAGAAATCACCCCACAGGTGGGATGGGCATACTGCAATCCCTCTCCTTCGTTCTCCTCTTGAGATTTTGGAAACACACACACATGCACCTATTATGAATTTAATCCACCAGATCCGGGACTATAAAAAAGCTAAGTAAACAAACAATAGCTATTTTAAAAGAAGTTTAATTCAGGACCAGATGGCGTAATGGTTACGTTGCTGAACTCCTACCCAATCTGCTGCCTAGTCTTGGATCCGACAGCTTAAAACCCATGCTGGGATCGTGCGCATGTGTGCCCAAGATCCCCAGAGGAGTAAGGGAAAGGGATTGCGGTGTGGCCATCCCGCTGGGGGAGGGTGATTTCTCACTTTCTGTCTCTCTGTCTCTCTAGTGGGCACACACACCCTATGGCAAAAATCCCTCTTTAAAATAAAAAAAGTTGAATTTATATACATGCTAAAAAAAAACTGGGACATTTTAGGATTTCCCACATGCTTACACATAGGATGTCATATGTAAGCATTAAATTATTTTATTATTATTAATCTGCCAGTGTGCACATGTGCTTGCTAAGGAAAAGCAGGGAGGGGGAAATGAGAAAGCACTCGCCATGGGGGATGGTCACACTGCAACCCCTTCCCCTCCATTTCTCTCTCGGCTCAGGATATGGGGCACACATACACATAGACCTGGTGTTTTTCAAGTCACTGGGTCCGGGACTTGAACCCGCCAGTCAGCCATGTGGGATCCAACCGCTTCAACCACCACATCATTGGCTGGCCCCCAAAACAAAATGTATAACCTGTTTGTAAAGAAATTTGAGAAATTTATGGACTTTTATTTTTTTTATTAATTTTCAATGATCTACAAATTACACTGATACAATTTCACCAATGGCAATGCTAATACTGATTTCATATAAAACATCCTTTTCACTTTCATAATTACCTGTTAAGAAGGTTCTCCACTTCTTGCACTTCCGATATGGACTCTTCATTGTCAGGAAGGACGCGAGTTTGAAATTTCCTATCTTGGAAATCATACAGCATGACAATAATAAGACTGTTCAGATGGTCTGGCTGCCAGGGAGAAATGCACAAAAAGAAAAGCATGCAAACGATATCTAATGTATCTAATGACAGTATTTGCCATGCCTTTCTTTTTCTTGTTTTTTTTTTTTTTTTAACTTTGTTTATTCACTTTAATTCAACCAAAGAGGGACAGAGCAAGAGCGAGAGTGAGAGCGAGAGCGAGAGCAAGAGGGAAAGTGAGAAAGCAAGCTGCCAGGTCCGGGACTTGAACCGTGGTCAGTCTTGTGGGTGTCCAGTGCCCTTAACCACCCTACCACCTGCCAGCCCCCAGCCATTCCATTATTATTCATAACAGCAGAACTATGACCATGTTTACATAGTCTGATTGGATATGGAGATAGGAAGAGTCTTCAAACCAAAAACAACTAGCAAAAAAAAAAAAAACTTTAATTTGGTATGTTATCAAAATGAAAGGACAAGGACCAATATTCAAAGCAACAGGTTTAAGAAAGAGACCCTCATCTAGCCCTACTCTGAAGAGGTCTCAGTACTCGGAGCAGCAGATGGCATAATGGTTACGTCGGGACTCCCACGTGGTCGACTGCGACTCAAGTTCCAGACCCAGTGGCTTAAAGCCCACGCAGGGCATGTGTGCTTGCATGCCCAAAATCCTGAAAGGAGAAGTGACTGCAGTGTGGCCATCCCCCCTGGGAGGTCATTTCTCACTTTCTGTCTCTCTGTCTCTCTGTCTCTCTACCAAACGCATGCACCCTATAGCAAAAATCTCTCTTAAAAATAAAAAAAGAATGAAGAAGTCTCAGTAGTAAACAAACTTATTATTATTTAAGCCTAAAGGCTTTTAAATACTTTCTTTAAAATATAATAATGAAACAAGCTAATTCTAAAAGTTGTCTACTTACTATGGTGGTACTCGGGAAAATGTAGCTGTCTATTAACATAGTTTCCAAAATATCTTGATCTGCAAGACAAGGGAAATGCTTATTATCTAAAATACCATAAATATCATAGCTGAAAATAAACACTTTGGAATCAAAACACACGTGAAATAATGCCATGAAATGTCAGATTCACTTTCAGGTCTAAAATATGCAATTCTTGGTAGAGACTTAAAATGGCATGATTTATCATCTCTATGAACTAAGGAGCCTTAGACCCAGACCCACATGGACCCACAGTCAAATCAGAGGGAAGGGATCATCTGACTAGTCAAAGTAGTAGCAAAGGAATTTCAACCTTGGTGTCCCTTGGAAAGCATCAAAGAGGACCCCAGTAGCAATACTGTCCAACTCGTCTCGGCCCTTCCTGTGCGGCTGGATTTGATCTGCTAATATGTTATCCAGGGTTTCTGCTGTTTATGCTCGGGAGGAGATATTTAGAGTTTTTTTTTTTCTTTTTTTTTTCTTTTTTTTTTTTTTTTGCTATAGGGCACGTGCACTCGCCATACAGAGAGAGACAGAGAGACAGAAAGCGAGAAATCCCCCCCCAGGGGGGATGGCCACGTCGCAATCCCTTCTCCTCCATTCTCCTCTCGGGATCTTGGGCATGCATGCACACGCGCCCGGCATGAGTTTTAAGCCACGGGGTCCGGGACGCGAACCGCAGTTGACTACATGGGAGTCCAGCAACATAGCCATTACGCTAACTGCTGGTCTTCCGTTTTCTTTTCTTGTAATATCTCTGTCAGTGTAGGTACCAGAGCTATGCTGGCCTTATAAAAAAGAGTGTGAAGTGTTTCCTCTTCCTCCATTCTCTTGATGAATTTGCTAAACTGGTATTATTTCTTTACAATAATGTTCCCCTTTATTCATGATAGAGTGGGTGTGTGTGCACACATGAAAGTGAGCGAGAGAGAGAAAAGGCGAGAGTGCACCCCCACAGGGTCTGCTCACACCATAACCTCCTTCCTTCGGTCCTCCAGTTGGTGGGATCTTCGAACTCCGACACGTGCCCAGCGTGCTTCAGGCTGGCTGGGCCGGGGGCTTGAACCATGGTCACCATGTGGGCTCTGGCTTCTCTTGAGCAGCACATTACCGCTGTGTCACGGAGCTGGCCCTAACTGGTATTATTTAATGATTTGTTAGAACTCCCTAGTGAAGACACCGATGAAGTGACATCTCACCGGAAACCAACCGACAAGGAGTTAGCCATGGAAAGATCGGAGCAGGGACAGCATTCTAGGCGGACAGGAGGGTAACCGTGAAGGTACTAAATGGGCACACCTTAAAACCTCCAAGGGTACGTGGGTGTCCTTTTGGTTACAACCGCTTAAACCATAGACAAATAATAATATAATCCTATAACGAAAGCTTTAGTCAGCTGAATAGAAAGCTAGGTCTTGTTTCAACTCATTTAACATTTATAAAAAATCTATATGCGAGGTACACACTGAATCTCGATTTTTATTTGGAAGAAGGGAAAGCTAGGAAGACCAATCTAGGAACACTGACTCCGGTTCCCATAGGAAACCCTTTGGGAGCCATTACCCATGTCTCGGCCCCCAGTTCCAGCTGTCCTGCATGAAACTGCATCCCCACTTCAGTGATAAGGAAAAGGACGTTTAGGGTTTCACATCCTTAGTACTTCATAGATTCCCAGCCTAAGTCCCACTTTTTGTCAGAGAAAACACAGTTGGCATAAGGACAACTGTTAGAGGGACTTCGGGGCTGGCAGGTGGCGCGGTGGTTAAAGGTGCTGGACAGCGCCTTTATGTGATGGCTGACAGCAGTTTGAGTCCCAGATCTGGGAGCCAAAGTGCATGCTCCCACATTATGCTCTTGTCCTCATCCGATTCTCACAACAAACCAGTGTAGCCAAACCCAACACGCCTCATCTGCCTGACTGAGGTCAGCAGGGGACCTGAATGATTCTCACAACAAACCAACGTAGCCAAATCCAACACGCCTCGTCTGCCTGACTGGGATCAGCAGGGGACCTGAAAGCCGCAGACCCTGCCCACCTACAGATCAGCCCAGCAGCTCCACACTTTCCCGTCTCCCCAGAACTGAAGCTGCTCTCTTTAGCCTGTCGGAGGGAACTGTTCACCCCCAGCCTTTAAGATCCCAGTGGAGGGTCTTTTCTGGAGAAACACCTCCACTCTCTGCACGCCCTAGGAAAGGAAAACTGATGTGACTATGAAACTGGAAGAAGGAACAGGGCATCTCTGCCCACTCGCTCTCTGCCAGCCAGTCCTACAGGAGGCGTGCACGCATCCCAGGCTGCTGTTCGCCACATGTCTTGCTGGCGTTGGGGTGCAGGGGTCTGGGATTACCCAGCTGTACCGTGGACTGGACGGGCAAGTCTCTGACCAGGAGTAAAGTACTGGCAAGCCCCAACCAGAGATCCAAAGCCGTGTTCCCAGACACTCCGTGTTTCTCAATGGGGTCCAAACTCGGGCTTTGTGAAGGCGGAATGCCATTTACTGGCCCTTCACACTCAACAGTCTGTCTGCTCAGCCTTCCCACTTCGGCAGAGAGACGGGAGACAGTTCCTTTTCTGACTCTCTTCTGGGTTCTTCCTCTCTATTTTTATTACGCTTTCATTGTTTCCTTTGTACAAGGGCAAACTTAGAATGAACAGTTTTGTAGAAGGCCAAGGCTTCCTATGATTATAAATACAGACATCTGGGAGGAGGGAACTTGGCAAAAGAATATCTGGGAGAAGCAGACACCGTGGAAAAGAAGGGGCGGCACCAAATACAAAATCGTTGTGCAGTTAAAACAGAGCCAAGGAGGGCCCTGAAGGGCTGGAACTGCGAGTAGGAGCTGCACTCCACCACCCTCCCAGCTAGGTGGGGACCTCCTCCTCTCATCCTTCCTGCCACCGAGCTCTTCGGGGATGCCGGTTAGTCTCTTCCTGAGCTTCTCCTCCTCTTTTCCTCTACAAAATGAGATGTTCCACCTCCAAGGACTGGTGTGTCCAATGGTGGGAAGTTTTTTGTGAATTATAAAGAGCACACAAAGTACTATTACTGTCACTCAAGAGAGCTGCTTTAACCTCTTAGGTGACAACTGGAGCACAGGAGAGCACTGACCTGGGTCACCTTCTCGGAGCCCCGTGCAGTCTGTACTTAACTCAGCAGGCCTGACCGGCCCAACTGCACATCCTAAAGAAAGGCTGCCCGCTGACTGGTTCCTGGAGGTAAGGAACCTCCGTGCCCTGAGGATAGCCCGGCTGATGAAAGCGTCCTTGTTCACCAGGAGCCCAGGTCACACAGCATTAGCCTGACCCTAGGAGAAGCTAGATGGAGTAACTAAGGTGGGCACGCCTCGTCTGCAAGACTGAACCTCAATTACGCTAGGCAGCAAAGCTCAGGTAGGCCTCCCTGACGGGCAATAGAGAAATCCCTGCACCTTATCCGTGGGATACATTCCACAGTCCCCAGTACATACTTGAAATCACAGATAATACCGAGCCCTAAGAATACTACGTTAATATAATTTCTTATACATTTTCTTTCTTTTTAAGGTTTTTCCCACAGGGTGTGTGTACTTGCCCAAGAGAGACAGAGAGAGGGACTTCCCTAAGAGGGAATGGCCATGCTGCAATCCTTCTCCTCCAGTTTCCTCCTGGGATTCTGGGCATGCAAATACACATGCCTGACATGATGTTCAAGCTGCCAGTCTGGAACTGGAACCATGGTCAGTCATGTGGGAGTCCAACACCTGAACCACTACCCCACCTGCTGGTCTTCTTAGACATTTTCTTATTCCAAGTCAAGGATAGTTTAATTTATAAATTAGTAATAAGCTATTAAAACAATAAGGTAGAATAAATGTAAGTTATAGATGTAGTGATGTAGTGTTTATCTCAAAATATATACTATATATGCATAATCTATACTACATAGACACACACATATTGTACAATACACTATAATAAAAGTTCTGTGAATGTAGCATCTCACTCAAAATATCTTACTCTACTGTCCTGCGTGAAAAGCCAAGCCAGAGACGAGCCGGGACTACTGTGCCGCTTCATGCATGCTGGCATATGTTGCTGCTTGGGGAATTGAGCAAATGATTTCTTTTTTTTTTTTGGAGAGAGTTTTCCTATAGGGCGCGTGCGCTCGCCAGACAGACAGAGAGAGACAGAGAGACAGAAAGCGAGAAATCACCCCTCAGGGGGGATGGCCATGCCGCAATCCCTTCTCCTCCATTCTCCTCTCGGGATCTCGGGCATGCACGCACACGTGCACAGCGTGAGTTTAAGCCACCGGGTCCGGGACTCGAACCGCGGTTGACTATGTGGGAGTCCAGCGATATAGTCATTACGCTAACTGCTGGTCCCGGGAATTGAGCACTATTGATAAAACTCCATAGGGAAAGGGCAGCAGGAAGCTTGACCTGGTCTCTACTGGACTCTGCGCTGCCCCTGCACCTTCACTTGATGCCGACTTTAACCTGCATCCTTCCGTGTAATGAAGAGTAACTATTCCATGTAACAGCTCTGCTGTGTTCTGTGAGTCCTTCTAGCAAACTGTTGAACCTGAGGGTAGTCTTGGGAACCCTGGACCACCATTACTAATTCCCAAAACTATAACCAGAACATCTGAGGGTATTTCAAAAAGGCTATTGAAAATGGAATTAAAGGAAGAGTTTATTTTTGGTGCAAAATATTTGAAGTTCACATAAGTCTTTTTTTTTTTCCTCTCCATAATAGGCATTTTCCATGAACTTTTAAAAGACCTTCTCATATGTCAAGCATTTTACCAGGTTTTTCAGGGGCAGATTCTATGATTCTGAAATGACCAGATTAATGCCACAGTCAGGTCCTAGAAGTCAAAGTTCACCAGCCACTATAGACACCTAGAGAAGCAGGAGAATGAATTAAATCAAGAAAAACCACTAGTTTCAGAAGCATCTTTTTGAGATTATTTCTTGTTCATTTTGCCAGTTTTTCTTCTGTTCTAATTATTAGCATTTTTTTTTCTTTAAATTACCAGGGGAGAGTGTGAACGCA